GGCGGGGGCGCGCGGCAGCGCTGCCCGCCCAGCCCTCCCGGTCCCGCGGGGCTCTGTGGGTCACCGGCCTTGCTGGCAAGCTCCACAACGCTCGCCTCTTGCGGAGCAGCCTGGGAAGCAGGCGAGAGCAAGCCGCCGGCCTCAGCAGCAGCAGCAGCAGCAGCAGCCTGAGGGGCTGAGGCGGGGTTGCGCGGCTTCCCGAGCCTGCCTCCCCAGGGGCTCGGGCACCCAGGACCGTCCCGAGTACAGGCGATCCTCCCGGTAACTGGTGAGGAGTCACCCATCCTGCTGTAAACGGTTACTTTCCTCAGTACGCTGTCTCTCTCCACCATCGGCACCTCGTGCACCAACACCGCGTTCCACGCGAGGAGAAGTGGCCGGGATAATGACTCCGCACATCCGTCCGCCGAGGAAGGACAGACGAGAGCTCGCTTAACCTCTGCAGCCAGAGCTCTCGCTCTGCACATGCCTTGGCTGCGTTTTCTTGGATTTTGTGCGTTTCTCTGGGTGGCTCTCTGCTCTCGCTGCAGCGCGCTAGCAAAGTTGGTTCCCTCCAGGCTACTTGGGTTTCTGGAGGGAGTCTGTCATCCCTGACAGAGTAAAGGGCCTATGCAGAATGCCATGGTCTCCTCCCACTAGACCCTTTTGACTACCTGATCTGAGTTAAATCCCGCTAAGGTGGCAGTCCAGTACCTCGTACTTAGAGGCATCCTCTCATTTTTAACTATCCTCCCCTTTTTCCACTTCACCTTCCTTCACAACTCTTTCCAATTTTTCTCTTTCCAGATTGCTGTTGCCAACTGCTCTACTTCCCTTAAGCACCTCATCCTTTCTGCCTCATAAGTTATGTTCTGAACTTAAAGCAGAGATTAATTTTTCTTGCCATCTGAAATATACAGTATATCCTTTTGCTGCTAACTAAAGTTTCTGGAAAGCACTGATATGTTAGCTTAAAGTTAAAATAATAGACAAAAGGAGCTTCCCAGAAATGTACCATTATCAAGTTTTTCAACCCCAAATGATAGTAATGATGAAACCACACAGATTGATCACATTTCTCAGTTAGTTAAAATTCCTCAAAATGAGCTATACTGAAGAAATAATTAACTTTTTAATATTATGTCTAGTTATGATTTTACAGACTTAGATAAGGCCAACTTAGCATCATAGGTCACTTAATTGGAGCTATTGTCACACCAGTATCTCTTCAAGTAAAACAAATGTAACCTTTCCTCCACCGCTAAATTGCATACTACAATTCTATTAGTTATACAGAGCCATTTGTAGAAGAGGATTTTAAATCACTTACTAGCAGATGACTGGGTTCAAGTGCCTTTGCTTCTTCCAGGTTCAGTGATGGTATGCTAGTTCGGGCACTGGATTTTGAAAGATTAATATACGTATATACCTGTAACTATAATGTTCTTCATAAATTAGTGTAAGGACCCCAAAATACTTTTATTGTCAAAATGGTTTTATGTCTAAAAGTAATCTGAACATCTTATTATTTTATTTGAGTTGCTATTTTATTATTTGCATTTTTGCAGTGGGTGCACTCTTTTGAAATTAATGGGGATCACTTGGCTGCAACAGTTTGTGCAAAACACGAAGAATAATACAGGGAAGAGGTTCCCTAGAAGGGACTATTCCCACATGTCCAAATGCCAAACAATTCTGAAGTAAGTTTAATAACTGTATATTTCACTAAAACTGTGATGTGTCATATGAAAATCTCACGTCATTGCTTACTGAAGAGTTGTATGCTTTGGGGGAATATGCTGGGCTTTTCACACTCTGAAGTGGTTTAGGTAGCTATTTTGGAAAACAGGTCATTGAGTCTCATTTCCAACTCCTGTACCATAAACTTACCTTCTTGCTTTGTGCTAGTTGAAAGACTGAGCAGAAAGAATAGGAATGACATGATGTGTAGCAAAGTCATTTCTAATTCCCAGATCTACATGTGAGGGAAGCACCTTTGCTTCAGACAGTTCCAGTACAATGTTTCTGTGTTTGGCTACAGGATCTCCCTTCCCCTCCAACAGGCCCCTTGCAAACCTCTGGGCCGAGGAGGGATCTGCTGTTCAGAATATTACCTGTCCCCATCAGGGCAAACTTAGCATCCACTGAGATAAAGAAAAAAAAAAAACAAACAACAAACCTTTTCAGTGGATTCTCAATGAGGATTTGTTTTGTTTGGCTGGAGAATATGCTGTTTGCTACAGGATGAACTGAGGAAAACAGTATTCCTGCATGTTTGTAAGATAAATTAACTTCTCCGTATTTGCACTTTTCAGTGCAACTGACCCAAACAATGAAACCATATTTCTATTTTTATTTCTTTTGGTTTGGAAAGATCTGTATCATGGCATTTCCCAGAGCTCATATTAGATACACAAAGAAGGTGGTTTATGGCAAAATACCCACCAAAATGTATCGTTAGTGATACATTTTTTATATAGTAGATTTGGCCTTTGGTACCTGAAAAACTTGATTTATCTGCCTTGAATTATGATTTAAACAGAGCAAGAAGAGGAACTTTTCTTGGCTTTTTAGGTATTGTACCTTTTATTCTCTCTTCTTAATGTATCTTCTTAGAATTCAGAGCTCTGAATAGCTAAGAGTTAAGCTATTCTCCACATGGTGCCAATTTTACTGTATTTTATTTTCTGTGAAGCAACTCTTAGATGACATATTGATATCAAGGCAGTCATCCTATTATGAGATCAAAGTCAGAGAAAATCATCATTGTCATAGTAAGGCCAAGTCTAATGACCCAGATGGAAGGAAGTGCAAGGTTGTTTTGCTGGCCATAACAACTCTTAGAATCAGAGCCAAATTATACATCAATAAAAAATTACTTTTTTTAGAAAACAAATACTTTTACAACTTGATATGTGACCAGAAATATGTATGTCTATTGCTACTAAAAAAAAAAAAAAGAAAAATAATGTTTTATTCATTTAAGGGACATGCCAGTTAAAACACTGCTCAGGTTTCAGTATCTTTTATCAGCTGTGAAATTACTATTGGTTTCTAAAAACTAGTTTTTACACATGCTGAGACTCATTTCTAAAAATAAACATAACTCATACACATATGCATGGTCTGTTCTTCATGAAGTGTAGTGGGAGTGCCATGTCTAGGGTCTACCTGCTTTTGATGGGCCTCTGGATCTCTGAGTTCTTATTACAGTTAGTGGGTCTTACGTACTGCCTTATTTGTACTAAAGTAAGCTATATGCTTGGATTTTTTTTTTTTTTTTATTAAAACACCTTCAAATAATTTTCAACCTTATTAAGTATGTATTTGGGTCCACTTTCCATCTTGCGCCTTGTTCCCCAAGTTTAGAAAAATGGCCCTGAGGTTATTTGTCATTGCCTTTCTAAATTCTTCTGCATACATAATGCTGTGGAGCAGGTTTTACAATCTCTGTCAATATACTCCTTTACTTGCAGCTCATGAGGAGTTACAGGAACTGGTTCTATCCTGATTCTTTAGTGGAAAGACAAGTAGAGTAAGGCTAGAAACAAATGGGAGATGTTTAAAAAAACCCTTCTGTCTTAGACTTCAGAGCTGTTTTATTGTTACTGCCTGATCTTTTCAAAAAAGAAGATACTTTTGGAGGTAGGGTACTTTATTCCCTGAGGGAAGAATATGTTTAGAATGGTGTTAACGCTACCAAATGAAAGAAATCGCTGTTCTGCTTTTCTAAAAGCATCCTTATCTCCTTTGTATAGAAGCAACCTTTTAATGCAAATATAGCCACTTTACAGATGTTTGTACCCATACTTTTGTAAATTTCTGCATGTATGTTCTGTGTGTTACAGTTTACAACCTCCCAACCTTGATGTTTACATTCTTTCAGTTTCAAAAAACACCAGTTTTGTCATATGGTCAGGTTTCACCTGCTGCTGATTTTACCTTCTACAAAATGGCATCCATATTTCAAAGAACCTACCCTCTGTTCTACCAGTCCTGCTGCGATTGTTTCTCCATCAGAAGGGCATCCCACATTTAAGGCTATGAGATTTTCCATGGTGGATGAAAAAATCCTTTCCACACAGAGACATGTAGCAAGCAGTAACAACGGGGGGGAGGGGTATTGTTTTTTGTTTCTGTACAAGGAGAGCGCCTTTGCAAGGAGCATTCAGCAAGCAAAAGGTGGATCTAAACCAATGTTGTTACTCACCACAATG